AGGCCACTGCACTCCAGTCTGTGCGACAGAGTGAGACTCCCAACTCAAAAAAAAAAAAAAAAAAGACTGCAAATTGGGCATGGACAAGTGAGTGACTAGGATTGTTTTTATACTTATAGAATCTAAACCAGCTCTTTATAAAGCCTCATTTTGTGGGATAATGAACAAGTATAATTGCCCTTGGGCAATTAAAATTTAAGCTAACATTTTCCTTCTTTTGGAAACAAACAGTGTTTAAACATTTTACATTTGGGTACGTCTTTCTTGGAAATTGCCAATAAAACATTTTTCCCAGACATGTTGCCCAGTGGGCTAATTGAGTGTATCGGGGCCAGCACTAATCACCTTTAATCTCTTCAGTGGAGGTGAAGATAGAGAGCGAGAGAAGTATTATTCCCCGTTCCGGATTATCCCGTACTTGATTCATGTGCATAGCTCTGCCCAGCCAGAATCGGAACCTTGCTGCCTCACGCTGGTTGAAAAGATTCACTCTGGTTATGAAGGTAAGGCAGGAGGATCTGCTTTTAGATAAGATGTGTCAAGATTAGCAATCAGATAGGAGCTTGAGAAAGCCTGTTTACTGCAGTTGTAGATCAAAAAAGATTGCTTGAGCCTCTAATTTGGCCCTTAAACTCCTTAGGCGTTTTTACGCTGGTTTTTACTGATGTCTCTCTTTGACCTACACATCTTGTGCAATCATCTTCTTCATAGACAACATGTGCTAATGGTGTCAGCATAGGACTTGGTGACAGCTGCAGTCTTCTAATCCTCACTCTACTGGTGACCCATTCAATGTGGCCTTTTGCTTCTGTCTTGTGTGAAATGAGAGCACTGAAATTGTTTCAGAGAGGCCACAGAAACGAATTTATGTTTTTGAAGTGTTTTGAAGCTCCCTGAGTAAAAAGTGTATTTTATGTCTTCTATGAGCAGAACTACAATTCTAAACTCACATGTCAATACATAGGCAACTTCCATGTGTTACTTGAAATTACAGTCAGTTCTGATGTAACATGACATGATGCTTTTCTACAAATTACCATCCTATACAAAAATCACACAATAAAAACCACATGGCTTATGGGAAAAATGGGTTCAGGAGCACAACATTCAAAAACTTAGTTGCACATTAAAAATAAGACAAATCTAATAAAAACAGTAACACGTTACTGTATAATATATGTAATATTGTTTACTCATATTAAACCCACAAATGCTACAATATGAAAAAAACTATGGCTCATAGTGCAGGGGGAACTGAGGTCCAGGTGGATATTTGAGCTGTGTGTGTGTTTTTAGGTGGTTCTGTTTACCTAAATGCTGTTTGCTGCCTTTGCTTAAGGTTTCTTGCATATTAAGTAATGCATAAGCAAATGGAATATTAGCATTATACCCAAATATATCAATCAATATATTTTCAAAGTAAGTATTAGAACAGAAGTGACCAACCAATTTTATTACACAAATAAAGGACATCCAGATGGTACTAAGGAACATTTCAAATCTTTTGTTTAGTTATATACAACCACAAGATATGACTATACTTAACTAGTTACTCCAGTTTTAACTATTAGATTATTTGTGATGAAAAAACTATTTAATGTTCACAGATGTTCTCTTTCTGTTTAAAATTAAGTTTAGTAGGTGTCACGTTTTGGCCTAATTAAAATGTAGTTGGTAATGAAAAATATTTAATTGTAACTTTGACTGCTTAAAGGCCAGGACCCCAAGTGTGATTTCTGCCATTTCATATAGAGATTTTGTTGCCTTTTTAAACATGAATTGGTTAGCTAAGTGGATGGTTAATTAGATATTTGCCTTTAAATGGGTGTCTGGTTTTTGTTGTTTTTTTCCATAGCTCCTCGAATTCCAGTGGATAAAAGAATTTTTACCACAACACATACCCCAGGCTGTGTTTTTCTTGAAGTAGATGAAAGGTAAATACCTCCTTAAGCTTTAAACTCATCCTGTTTGGTTTTATGACAGTATGCTTTAAATAGGTCAAGAATGATTCCATTTTACAGAGAAGTACAGGGAAGCTGGGGCCAGTTTGCCCGGAACATATGTAGTATCTGATCATATTCAAACTAAGACCAAGACTCCAGGCTTCTGGCACCTATTTCAGTGTTATTTCCGTTTGAAGTGCTTCTCAGATCAGCTTATGATGAAATTTCAGCCAGTCTAAAGTGGGGGAAAAAAGGATAATTTGTTTTTTGTAAAGCTAAATTTTTTAACTTAAACAATTTTTATTTATTTTGAACTTCCTACTTTTTTTGGCGTTAAAAGTCTTTCTTACCTAAAGAAGAGCAATAGTAGAGAATAGTTACTGCTTATTGCTTTTTTTTTTTTAAGTGTCTTTATTTGGAAAAAATAAATATTGGTATCATCACATCAGTATCCTCCATTTTTTTCTCCACATTTATTTTTGCATTTTACTTAATTCGTGCAGTTGGAAAATCTGGGAACCAATACACTATACCACACATAAATGTAAAGCAAAAATGTCCAAAACCCAGTTATGATACATACTTATTTCGATTTTTTAAAAAACCTCATGATCTGAAAATAAATTTATTTAATATGAAACCAAACAGTAATGAGTAAGATATTTAATCTGCATAAAGTAAGAAAATTTAGCTAATGATGATTCCAAAAATAGTTTAAATCTATTGCATTAGGAAATATTGTCAGTTTTTTCCTGTCATCCTTTGTATTATTATAAGCTTCCTGTGAACCTTTATCCTGGAAATGTTTCATGTACTAGTTAGTTAACTATTTAATATTACCTCTTGGGTGACATTGTTTCTGTGTAATTATGCTGTTTGATTTGTAACCTGCTTTATTCACTTAACATCATTGGCATGTCTTTACATTATGATTTTTGTAGACTTTTGGGTTTTTTTTTTTGTTTTTTTTTTTTTTTTGAGTTGGAGTCTCACTCTGTCGCCCAGACTGGAGTGCAGTGGCCGCTCCCGGCCACC